TGAAAGTGCCTTAGGAGAGCCGTGCTTGTATTCCCTTTGAAAATTAAATTTCTTTTGGTTAATATATCTCCTTCCAAAGAAATGTTTAATAGTTTTGATACAATTTGTGATAGTTTGATTTATTATAAATTCGGCATACAGTAGAGCACCGTGAAAGTAAGCCTTATGAACTCTAAGGAATACAAATTATTAAAGAAAACACCGGAAACTTGCAGTCTCTTGTCTTGTCTCTTCTTGAGATACGTCCAAGTTTGCACGCAGTTGCAAAATTTGCGAAAAATTGGAGAAATCGCAAAAATTTGCTGTGTATTTTTTCCCGTTTTTTTGGAAGAAATAAACTAAGACAATAATAAAACAATCGACAGCCATTTCCCGTTTTGGCCAAAATACAGAAGCCAATGTGGAATCTATATTATCTTTGTCGTTAACATAGAGACAAGGCGATCAACAATTATCACAGCGTGGGCGAAAGCAAACTGAAACAGATTGAAAATATAATGTATCTCATGTAGGCCGAGTATCTGTTACTTCAGTTTCTTTTTGAATGAACTAGTCAGTGGATAGATATAGGTTTTGACTGGTTGCCTATTCCCAGATTATGACGGCTTTCAGTTTGGAAATGCCTTTTTCATCCATGCATTAGTCTATTTAAATGCTGACCAAGGGTTAAAGGGGCCTTTCTTTTATATGTAGGTAACTCGAAATAGTCGATTGATTTGACTAATAGATGGTTTTCACAATGACGTCATCAAATTGTAAAGTCAAAGTAGCGAGGTTTTACGAATTCTTATTCACACATGTGTACTATTGTCGCGAGACTTCAAGAGAGTGCCACTCTAGCAACAAATTAGTACGATTCGAATCTTCTTCAGGGAAACCTGAAAAAATATCAAACGATGAACATTCGGAATAAAAGTGTGAACTATGTCACAGCCGATATTTCAATGTTATCTTTAGAACGGAACTCAGTTTCATCAGAGCGTTATTGTAGCAATTCTGCACTACTCAGCAAAATCTAGTTTTAGCTCTTTTGTGTCT